AAGAGTAACTATGGAAGGATTAAACAAAATTTGGATTCTTTTTCGATGGAATGATTCAATAAATGGGAGAAAAAAGACACATTTGTGGTCCTAATTGAAAGATACTTATGTCCGAATTGAAAAGATAAAAGATACAAGAAAGTTAATTAAAATACCTTTATTTATATTATAACTTGTTTTACAGACATGTTAGTTTGAGTGGATCTAATATCTTGTTAAACAAGAATGGAACGATAAATCTTATAAATACTCAGTACCAATTTTATTTGAGGTATTTATATCATATTATAAACAATTTTTATTTTATTTTATTTTCTCAATTATTTAATAATCTTGTATAAATTCATGATCTCTAAAAAAAGATTATTTATTATTTTTGATAAAAAAAATTTTTATACTAATATCATGATTAAAAAAAATTAACAATCTAAATAGATGATCTCTTTCTATTTTCTTTTTACTTTTTGCATTCTTTTTCAAATCAAACATTTTCACCGAGTATATGGGTCAATTAGTATAGTGTTATTTCAACTTAACTAATATATTTAATTCAAGTTGTATGTAATTGCATTAAATACATAAAGTGAGAATGCTTATATTCTTAATAAATAATATTTATATTTGGTTTGTATAGAACTGATTACTACAAAGAGATACTTATGGGCTCATTAAAAAAAGATTAAACATATTATATTTTCACCCTATATATTAAAAAAAACAATTTTTTTATATTAACTTGGGAATAAATTTTTACTAATTAATAATTAAAATATATGTTTTATATATGATAAGTTTGTTTTTTAAATTATACTTTAAAAGTAATAATTAATTGGCTTAATTAAACTTTTTAGTATTTCAATTTCTAATTGTGCAAATTAAGTTTTTCATGTATTTTTTTTCATGCTATAAGTATTTCTAATCTTAAAGACTAATCTTGTTCTCGTTACTGTGCTAGTCCGAAGGATCCTTCATGTGTCTAATTGAATGATTTTGCATTCTTTGTCAATCTTTCATTAAATATATAACAAATTTTGTGGCTCATATTAAATGATGACATATCAATGACATGACAACTAATGTGTTGCTCGATACATATATTGATGCAGTTTAAATACATTTAATTGATCTTTTATGAATGAAAATTGTGAAAGATCAAAAGTACAATTAAATCATGTTAGCATAATTTTATCTCTATTGACGTGCCATCATCCAATGTCATATGTAAGCAAAATCTATTAAACATTTAATGAAAGATTAATGGATGATTAAAATTAAACAATTATGCCACTTAAATAACCTAATTTCCGCAACCAAAATATAAAGGATTAAAATTGTATAATTGAGAGATGTGTAAAATTGTAATTAAGCCTTATTAATTAAAACTAAACTCTTAAACAATAATCTGTTCCAATCATGCATGCACCTAGCTTGGCTGATTAGTTAGAAACAAAAGAAATGAAAGTAAAGCAGAAGTGATGAGAAAGAAACTTGGAAGCTGAGTTTGAAGTGTGCAAGGAAACTAAAAATGGAAAAGAAAAAGAAAAGTAGCGTGTTTGTATGGTTGAAATAATATGGGAAGAGGGGGTTGAGACTGTGACATGTCCTTAATCGTGGGCACAGCGCAGGAAGGAAAGTGATTAGAATGAGAATGTCAACATCGATGGATGAAGTTGACAAGTATACCATATCGGGTCAGTGTGGTGTTGCAGTTCCAGTTCTAGTTAATTAATGCGTTAAGGCCAGCTGGTTCACCTCTCTTCTACAAATTCAAAGGTCATAAACACCAAAAGTACAGACAACAAGAGTTGCGGACACGTGAATCCCTTGTGAACACCACGTGAAAGCCGGGATCACTCCACTCTCATGCATATATATCCTACGCATGCAACACTCTCTTAACTCTTTTGTCTACCTCATCCAACCTCTCACACTCAAGTTTCAAGTTTCAAGTTTCAACACCCATGACCAAAAATATCCACAACTCATATACACCACCATCTTTACATCTTATCCATATATGATATATTTCTACACATATATGTGACATGTTTGCTATTTTTTATTATTCTTCTCATTAACATAAGAAATTGAGTTAAATGTCTTCAAAATATAACATTTTACATTTTATAAAAAATTACTTCCACGTCTAAATTATAATAATTATTTTGAATAGAAATATTATTAGAAATTATTTTAAATGAAAAGGTTTTAGGAGTTTCTTTTTCATCAAAACTTTTTTTTTTTAATTTATTCTTTTCATCTTTATTTTTAAGTTAAATTCAACATTTTGTTAAACTATGGTTAGCCCTTCTTAAGTTTGAACTTTGATAATTGTTATAATTCCTATAGATTAAAAAAAAACTCTAGAATACAAGATAAAAAGAGAGATAAAGAAATAAATTTTAATAAGATATATAATAAAATAAATATAAATAATTAATTACAAATATTAATTAAGTGTGATATTCATTTATGATTACTAATCATCATATGAGGTATATGAGTTATAATATTTAGGCACTCAAAATTTACGAACATTTAAGTAATACTTAATATTTCTCTTTATAATTCTATTTTTATTAGGGGTCGTTATATGGGTTAATTTGATTAATTTAAGGTTTGATTTACTACATTTTTAACAAGTCAAATAAATTTGATTTACGAAATAAATGACCTTTTTTTTAACACCCATATCCGTTCCTAGGCAATCTTGTGGGCTCAATAATTTTTTTTTTTATAAAAACTTCCTTCCCTTTTTTTATGCTAAGAATATATAGGATATATATATATATATATATATATATAAATAAAAATAGTGTAAT